TACTGACTTGGGAACAAGCAGTTTGCACCACCGGAGTCGAAGTTCATCAAGGAGGAGGTTGAGAGGCAGTTGGCGGCAGGAATTATCCGAGAAAATAATGGCCCGTGGTGTGCGCTGGTCACTTTGGGGCTCAAGAAGAGTGGCGCCTACAGATTTTGTGTCGCCTATGTCGGGCTCAATGCTGTCACGGAACGGGAATCATGGCCTCTGCCAAATTTGGAGGAAATACTGGAGCGACTCGGCGGACATGAATACTACACCGCCTTTGATGGTTTTAGCGGATTCAACACAGTTCCCATAGACAGGGAAGATCAGTACTTCACCATGTTTAGGATGCTATACGGGACATATTGCTACACCGTCATGCCGTTCGGATTGAAGAACACGCCTCACGCCTATTGCCGCTATGTACAAAAAGTCTTCACTCAACAGGTATCTCAATCAATCAACACGTACATGGACGACTGTGCAATAACTAGCAACGGGTTTAGCACTCATTGCTTGGATATGGAAGAGGCGCTCCAACTGATGGAAAAAGGGAAGATGAAGGTCAACCCCTAGAAGAGTCATTTCTTTCAAAAATGTGTGGAGTTTTTGGGACATTACATGGACAAGGCAGGTGTGTCAGTCTTGAGAGGCCGCGTCCGACAGATCGAAAATTGTTTGGAGCCAACCACGGTGAAGGATGTGAGGGCATTCCTTGGATTCTGTGGGTACTACCGGCGATTCATCAGAAATTACTCTAATATTGCAGCCCTGTTGGTACTCCTAACGAGGAAGATGGAGAAATGGAGGTGGAAGAAGCCACATGTGGCTGCGTTCAATGACCTCAAGGATGCTTTGTCTTCCGCTCCAGCTCTCATTCCACCTGACTACTAGAAGCCATGGATTGTTGACTGGGATGCAAGCAACGCTGCCATTAGTGCGGTTTTGAGCCAGGCTGGAGAAGACGGGCTTGAGCACCCGGTGTACTTTTATTCCAGGACGTTGAATTCTGCAGAGCGGAACTACTCAACCACAAACCGAGAGTGCCTCGCGGTGGTTGCCAGCATGAAGAAATTTCGAGTTTATGTTCTTGGGGGAGAGATCCTTATCCAGACGGACCACAATGCAATACGGCAGCTGCTCAACAACGCTGAGAACATAGGCCGATATGCCCGTTGAGTGTCGATTTTGTCCGAGTTGATTTCACGTTGAAGTACCATCCGGGGGGCAAGCATAGAAACGCTGACGAATTAAGCCAATGGACTGTGGGAGATGCATCAAACGAACCCAAAGGAATTGACAACGAAACATGGCATTTCGCTTTGCGAGCCGAGCTCTGCACAGATCCTTGGTATTCAGGCATCATTCGGTACTTGCAAATGACTGAAGCGCCAAGAGAGATGTGGAAAGATCGACGGAGGATTCGTCAGATGGCCAAGCGCTATGTTTTGGACGATGAACAACTCTAGTACCAGGATCTGGACGGTGAACTGAAGACTTGTGTGGCAGCATCTGATGTTCCTATGGTTCTCAAGGAATTCCACGATTCTGCGTTTGGTGGTCACAGGGGTCGTGATATCACCCTTGCAAATCTCAGACGTAGCTTGTATTGGCCAACGATGAGGAAGGATGTTGAGGAACATGCGCACAAGTGTGATGCGTGTCAACACTGGAAACCGGGACCATGTTTGGCTAGAATCTCACCTACTTTGATTACCGAGCCTTTTGAGCTTCTCGTGATCGACTGGATGATTGAGATGCCGGAAACTCCGAGTGGCAACACATGCATCATCACATGTACCGATGCCCTTACGAAATGGACCGAGACAAGAGCTACACTAAGAGCTATGGCTCTGGAGTCGGCCCGGTTCTTTGTGGAGCAAATCGTCATGAAGTTTGGCATACCTTTGGCAGTGGCTACGGACAACGGGACACATTTCATGGCAGAATTTGACGAGCTACTGCAAAAGCTACATGTTGCACACCATTGGGGATCACCATATCACCCACAGAGCACCGGACAAGCCGAGAAGACGAATGGTCTCACCACATCATGAATTCGGTGGTGGATTATGGAAGACGACCGAGAATGGGACAAGTATCTTGCAATGACAACTCTTTCTGTGAATACCCATCAAAGCTGCCGACTGAAGGTGAGTTCGATGGAAGTATTGTTTGGGAAGACACCAAGATCACCATTCAAAGGGGACACAGCTCTGGCATCTATGGACAACATTGCTGAGCGTTTCGAATCGATTGAGAATATCCCCAACTCCTAGGAAAGACTACGCCTTCTAGGGACAATTCGTGATGAAGCCATTCGAGTGACACAAGTCGTCAACGAGAAGATGAAGAAGCGTTTTGGTGGATCGCCGGAGACGTCGGAATTCAGCATCGAACATCTGTGCTTGTATGCAATCGAGCCAAGAAGAAGAAGAAGAAGAAGCTTTTGCAAGCATGGCACGGGCCAGGAAAGATTGTGTCGAAGGGCGAGCTAGGAGCAATGTGCATCCGCATGCCCAGCGGCAGCATCATCCAACGCAATATTCATGATTTGAAGCTGTACATAAAGTGAATCGGAAGTATGTGGGATCATCAGTACATCTAGTTGTGTTATGACCTAATCATGAGGGCATGAGATTGGCCATGGAGGGGCACTGAGATGGTGAATTCTGTTGCTGAGTGCACACCTACTAGGGTGAGTCTTGGAACTGGCACCGTATTGATGATGTGACCTGTCGGAATGTACTCAGCATAATAGTGGAATGATTTGATTCTGTATCGATTTCTGGAAGTGTATTTGATTGTGGCTGGAGTGATTGAAGCGGGTGCGGAGCGTTGACCAGCGAGTGAGAACAGATTGGAGATACATTTTGTGTCCGATGTTTGGATTCCATTCATATGTTCGGAGTCAATTGTAACTCCTTGCACCTGCGTGAGGTTTTCCTCGCAAGGGACTCTCGAACCGGCACATTTCCCCTCCCAACCCGCCACGGCCCCTGCTGTCGATTTGGTGAAGGCGCCTTTGCTGTGTGCGTGCCTTGTGGGGCTCAGCTCGTTGTGCAAACAGGCCAGCCCTGATAGCGACTGGGCTGGTCAGCGGCCAGGGGCCAAGAGCTCTGGGCTGGAAATTTCTGGCCGAGTGGAGTGCAGAGGGGGGGCGGGCCCATCTACAGTGGCCTGGTCGGCAGCTGCTGCCTGGAACCCCAAGATGGGGAGATCACTTTCCCACGCAGAAGGGAGCCCCGAAGGCCACCGCTGATGGGTGTTTTGGTTTTCTCCTTCAGTTCCATGCTCGGGGAGCCAGGGCTGGCTGACGTCAGCAACGCGATCTTAGTGCAATATGGAACATCGCATTGAACAAATTTCTGCTGGCACGGAAACCAGATCCTTGGGTCAGTGCCGCGCCGCTCGAGCTGCAATCTTATAAGATCCAGTTATTTGGAGCTCAGAGCCAGAACCAGAAGAAACTCGCAGAAGAAAGCCGCAGCGACTATCTTGGGACAGAGATTCCGGGCCTTTCGTTATGGACCAAAGATTTGAACGGAGGTGCACAAGTGTCAGGGTCCGCCCGGCAACGTCAAGGCCATGAGATCTACCGAGACAAAAGCGCGAAACCCCGAGACCTCACGGGGCCAGAACGGTCTTTGCGCCTTTCATCACCGCGCGTATCGAAGCGGACCTGGCGAGACCCGTTTACCTCACTGCGCAACAGCGTCAAGCAGCCGCCAGGTATGATAGCACGCTGCAGCGGCGGTGGCGCCTACCCAAAGACGCAGGGCGTGCACCAGATGATTAGGCAGCAGATGCCACAGCCCACACTGCTGCATTCACCGCAGCACTGCCGCCACTCGTCCTTCCATCTCCGCTCGCCACCCAAACGGTCGATGGCGAGGGTCGTGTGTGCAGGGCCGGTGCCCATGGGCGCACCCACCTGAGGGCCTTGCAGCGGAGTGTATCCGGCTCTTCTGGCCGGCTTGGCCACGACGGAGCTGCGGGCAGCGGGCGGATTGACGGGCGAGGACTGGTGGCGTGCGGCACTCTGTGGAGTGGCGAGGAGGTCCTGGTGTGAAGGAGGTGCCAGTTCTGACCGGCTTCCACCATTTGTGTATGGAGCAACGGGTACCCAACAGGCACAACGTTGGTCCGGGAAAATCGGGGCGCTAAGTCGCTTGCCATGCTGCCGGATCACAGCACTTTTGCGAAACGTCATGAATGGCGTCGGTCCCCGCTAATTGGATAAATGCGGCGCCTCGTGCACTGGCAGAAAACAACATACTCGCGGCGCCAACTGAGATATCATTTGACACAAAGTGGCGCCATCATGATGATTGTGTTGGCACAAAAGCAGCTGTGACAGCATCAATTAGTGTCAAACAGCATCGCAGTTAGAATCACGGTAATATTATTCTGCACTGGTGGTGATTGACTGGACAACTTTTGGAAACTGGGATGGAATTGCAGCAGCGTCGATGAGCCTTGATGGTAATGGTACTGCTGGGACAGTGACACGGGTACCTATTGGGCAACGTTGATGCAAGATGTGCGCATCAACGATGTGGCAATGCTACCATAGCTGCAACGTTGCTGTCAAGCAACATTGCCGATGGGTTGATGCAAAGTTGCTGCGATGCGATTTGATGCAACGTTGGTGAGATGCGATTTGATGCCAGTTGGTGTGATGCGATTCGATGCAACGTGGACCTGCACTGGGTCGATGCAGCGCTGCTGTACGGCAGCATTGCTGCAAGCTGCTTTGACACGACTTGCTGCAAGTTTGATCATTACATGCAATGTCCGCACCACATGCCTAAATCGCACATATTTCCCCACCTCACCACCGCCAGAGTCATACATTCATGTTTTCATGAATGTCACAGGACATGCACCATTATACTAACAAACCAACTATACCAACAAACTGCTTCCCGCTGAACCATGATGCAATGTCGCCAAAAAGGCACGCAGCCATTGTCAGAGTGAACTGATTTCGAAGACTGCACCCGGCGATCCCCTCATCGGCACCAATGGCATGGGCTGGTGTGCGCAAACATCAATCCTTGTAGATGTCCAAAGACATCTGTCAGCTGGCCAGCTGACCTGAACCCCTGCCGCAACACACTGCCATTGGTCTCCTCAACCTCCAATTCTTCTCTCAGCAACTTACAAGCAACCACACTGCTCTGACAGAAATGGAGCAGGTGAGCACGCAGATCGGATCCCACAAAACAACACATACAACGGTAGGACCAAACATGAGCAACACAGCAGATGCAGTTGCAACCTTGCATGTTGCATCTTTTGCACATTGATCAAGCGAGGAAGCTTTCTAAAACCACCAATCGTCTCCATTAGGCCCCTGCCACAGCTCAAAGGCAAATAAGTCCTATATTAGCCAGCTGCCAGAAGGCAGGTCCACTCAAGGCATCGGCCAACCCACAAAGACGGGTTCATGATGCAAACTGTTGTCGCATGTCTGCAGGGACTCAGCCACAACCTGCGGCAACAGGAGTGACAGGTACTGCAGGTCCCCTCAAGGCATCAACCAACCCATAATAGGTGGGCTCATGATGCAAACTGTTGTCGCAAACTGTTGTCGCGTGTCTGCAGGGACTCAGCCACAACCTGCAGCAACATGAGTGGCAGGTACCGCAGGATTACTCTATATGTCTATCAAAGCCAAATAGCAAACATCACAACCTTGGTCCCAAAATGATGATGTGCAACAAGGCTGATGCAGACACCTGGTGTCTCAAGCTGTGGATCGCCAAGATGCTCCTGGCAACCAGGTGGACTCCTCCTGGCTGATACCCAGCTCCCATGCAGACAGGCACAAGGGACGCATGCCATTCATTGGCCTTAAGCACAATATCCTCGCCATATGTGCTGTCATTGATGGGAAGCTGCAGCCATGCTTCAAGCCCTGCTAGGCACAGCAGCATATTCCAGAACTGCAAGGGACAAAGGCATACCCCTGTTGTCAACAACCATTTCGAATTCTTCATCTTGAGGGTCAAAACGGCGGATAGAAGGGGCCAGGGCAGAGAGCATGGCATGTTGCTCAAGCCCAGTTCACAGACGAGTTGGTGTGCAACTGATGGACCGTAATGCACATGTTGCCACGCAGCAGCAGCCCACACATTACAACAAGCATTCTGCTGGGTGAGTTTTCTCTTGCCAAGAAACAGGTTCCACACAGCAGTCTCAACAGTGAATGCTATGAGATTTGCAGCCCTGGATGGACCCAGCAGAGGAATACCTGATTGTCACCATTGGCTCCATAGGAATCCAAATAGATGCCTCCTGGCCTCATGTACGATGGGCAATCCACAAACACCCAGGCCAACCCCTTCCATTGATGCAAGTATTGATGCAAGTATAGTGCCCAATACTCCCATTACGTCAACTTCTATCTGCAATCGCCAACACCGGTGCACCTGTCAGCATGAATGCAGTCCACGAGTGCAACACCAAAATGTGGTCACATATTACAGCATTCTCCTTCTTGCTTTTATGGATACTCCAGTGGTACTACCCCTTAAACAGTCGTCAAAGACCTGGTGGGTTTGCAACGTCAGCAAATGTGCCTCATTGCCTGCCACGCGGTTGTTGCTAACAAGGTTCCAGTTGTGCTGATCTGTAATAAGCATACTTGCACACTTAAAAGGCAGTGACACATTTGGTGGCAGCGGTGGCAAGAGCGGCAACGGGGGCAGGGCCTGCGGTGCTCGCATCCAGCCTCTCAAATTCCAAACAACGTAGGGCTCAGCGGGACCAGCACGCATGGGCACGCCGCTATGCCCCCCTATCACGCCACCGCACCGATTTATGGCCGCCCCCTCCAGTTTGAAAAAATGCTCCAGCCGTGGGCCTCTGCAAGCCCCTGTGCTGTGCCAGTCCAAGAATGAAGGCAGCACGGGCAGCCTGGAGCAGCCGAGGATCCTCCCCGCCTCTAGCACACTTCCTCACCGACTTACAAGGGGAGGCCCAGCATCTCCATTGGCATCAGCAGCCGCCCATTCACATGCGTTGCACACAAGCCCACACTGCACGCTAATGGCTGTGGCTTGCCATGGCGCAACCCCACGGTCCATGCCCACATGCACTGGAGATTCCCTAACGGGGGCGATCCTCGCCGGGCCCCTATCTGGCCCAGCCCACCCACTTCCCCACTCCCTGTTTGGGCTTGCCCAGCAACTTTGAATTGCAAAACGCCGAGTGTGCCGTTGCACGCGCTGCTGTAGTCTGTGCTGCCCTCAGCCATTCCCAGCCCACCTGCATGCCCTGCCTCCCAACGCACCTCCTGCGCCGCCATGCACGCATGTCGTGTGCGGTGAGGCGGACGTCACGGAGGGTGGTCCTACTGGAAACGAGGCAACAAAATGGCAAAAGCCAATGAACAACAGCCGAGGCCAAAAATCGAACAGCCACAGCTTATCTCACCCAGCAGTCCTTGCCACTGTGTCCGTGAAGCGAACACTCCAACTCTTGGGCCAGCACCACGAGTGCGAAATAATATTACTGCCTGCACCAAATCGGTGACTGCTTGCAACAAGTCACGTGCACACTTCGTCCTAACCTCAATTTTAGGGTTAGGTTTAGTTTCAGGGTGAGTTTTAGGGTTAGGGTTAGGGTTAGGGTTAGGACAGGTTTAGGTTTAGGGTTTAAGTTTTAGGTTAGGTTAGTTTGGACGAAATTGGACATGATGTGCACGTGACTTGGTGCAAGCAAAGCAGAAAAAGGCGGTGGTTTCCATCAATGTTGATGTGTGTTGTTGAAAGATGTAACGAATCAACATTTCTGCCTTACCGGCCTCCTGAGCCCACCCCGCCATGTACCCCCCATGACAATACTTACAAACAACCGTCAATGTCACATACCCGAGGTTCCCGTCCATTAAACTTGCCCATTCGCTTCGCTAGTACTTCAACGCCACTCAGCGAGTGACTCCCTGTGAGTCAGCTCCCTTTCCCGCCCTTCACTCCCTCAACTCCCTTTCCATCCCACAACTAACATGAACTCCACTTTCCAGGGCGGGAGGGCTGGATGAGAAACAAGATAAGGAGGGGGACCGGGGGGCTGCCTAAATAGCCGCCCTCCGCCACCCCGCCAAAGCCCGCCAAACTCGAGGGCGCCCTCGCCTAGCGGCAGCTCGGATTACTGTACTTTGACTGACCCACGGTACTAGGGGTGGCCAGAAATCCCAAGGGACGGGGTTGAGTAAACCCCAGGTTTAAACTGCACCGTTTGAATCGCTGGCGCAGCCCACCCATTGTCGCCCTTGGCAGAAACCCATTAACAGGATAGTTAATTCCATTGCTGGCAACCCAAGGTTCCAGAGGCATTGATAACAATTGATCGTATGCATGTTGGCGCAACTTGGATATGGGAAGTCTCACAGCAACGCTGATGGCAACCTCACCGTTGTTGCAACATTGCCAAGGAGGTGTTCCAACAGCGTTGACGAACGTGAGCGTTGCTGGCACGCTGATGCATAGGCCCTGCATCAATACTGAACAGAATTGATGCAAGGTCAGATTACCATCAAGGCCCATCAACGTTGATGTAACTCCATCCCAATTTCCCTTTGAAAGGGGGAACGGCAGAAGCTTGCATGAACGATGCAGTGCATCTTTGGGCTTAATTTCCATTCGGATTCCAGAACATTCAGGACAACCGGAATTCCATCCAGATGTATGATACACTATTTTGAAGAGGCACAAATTTCCAATTGTGCAGCAATGGTATCAAATCTATCTGAATGGGTGCAAGCGGTATGGCAAATAGTCAGCTGAAGTAAAGAAAACACGAAATAGTGGTCACCAGTAAATGTCCAATGCTCGCCATGTCAAGCAGGAAGGAACTCCTGCAAATGCATGCAGATCATATGCAGTGGCACGCGCTCTGAGCACCGAGCTACTTATGCTAATGCTTACATCTGTTTTCTAGATCGTTGTCTTGCAATAAAGCGGTGATAGGAAACATGCAGAAATTATACATGGCACCATCAAGGAGGAATTAGATATAGGCAAACCGCTCCAATCCATTCCACACAATCGCCAAAGACCACGACCACCACGTGCGTGGTTGGCCGCTGTGCACGGTGGCACATCTCATTCTGCAATTGCCTGGTTACTGACTGGCTATGCAAAGCAACGGTTGTCTACCAGCAATCAGGAAAGGAAATTTCTTGCAGAGAAAGAGCTATTTTTCACCCAGCAATTCTAGGGCCATCAAGCGTTGTGATCGTTGCGTACATGCAATAGGCGTTGAGGCATTTGGCGGGCTTTCAATTTCCATTTGTAACGACTTCAGCGCTGCCGCTTATTGCACATTGACAGGTGCACCTCAGTCGCCACTTCTGCTGATCGTCATGGCGATGGGTGTTTGACCTTTGGGATAAGTCCAGAGCGGCATTGGCAATTGTACCATCTTGTTGGCCTGAAGCTATAGAAAGGACGCTCACCACGTGTGGGGCATTCGCAGATCTTTCCGGACAGGAACAAAACCTAATTCCGGAGAGAGAAAACAAGCAGCAACGATGGGCTCCATTTCCTCCACAATGGAGGTTGGAGTGTTCCTATAGAATTGGCACCAGCATGAACAACATAATACTGCAAAATAATGGAAGGAAGGGACTGTTGTTGAATGGACAGTTTGTCTGAATGACCCGGCATATGCAAGATAAATCTTTGCCTTAATGCGTTGAATTCGCCGCCGACAGCGATTTCCATTCATGGAAGCATGGAATGACTATTATGTTAATAGATTGCTGCCAAGAACGACGGTAAACGGATTGCACCGATCGTTGAAACGGTAGCCAATTCTGAGCGGCAATTTGAGGCCCTGCTCCTCGTTTTCTGGACACGTAGTAACTTGATTCAGTGTATATGTCGTCCAAAGTGATCGCACTCTAGTATTTAGGAAGGTATTACAAGCCACCAGTGCAGAAAGCGGCAATTGGATCCACATACAACATGTCAATTTACAGATGTAAGAAGCTGAGGTCAGAGTACAACGTGCTCCTACCACACAATCAGTTAAACACCCCTTTTCCATCTTGTGAAAGGGGGTATTTCCCTCTCTTTTTGTGTGCTCGTCTTTCTGCTATCCATCAACGGTTATGTTGTGGTGGGTTGTTATACGTTCTGCAGCTTTGAACAAAGTAGATGTGGGGTTGGGTGCTCTGAAGTGCGCGGGTCTTAGGAACTGTACAAGAACAGAACACTTACATGGGGTAGGAATGTTCAAAATGTCGCCTGGGAAGATCACATGAAGGTTGTGAACATCTGGATTTGCCACATAACGCACATCCCTGCAAAGGATAAAACAAACAGCTATTGAAACAGCAGCAACCTCAAAGCGACATATTAAGCTAAGGAAAAAAATCAGCAATTTGGCAGGTGATAGTGGACAAATATTCAGATCACTGCACTGAAAGTTGGAACCATGAAAGAAAGCAATGGGAAAATGCGCTAATCTCATGTAATCTAAGTCTGGGGAACATCAAGAAGGAGGGGGGGGCGAGGGGGGAGAGGACCCACACAGCGCAAAGCTCTTGTGACCACCGTACTCCGACTGATGAACATACGTGTCAACACCCATTAAATGATGCAAAATCATCACAGAGATCGTTTGCACTGTAATATGTACATTTTAGTGTTCATCTGGTAATGATGATATCACAAAGCTATTCAGTTACGATTACAACACACCATTTGCAATCCGGTATTCACATGTTGCTATACACAGATATGAACACGCCCATGTTCAAGTGCGCATTTGCGTTGTCCAAAGGCAGACATGTTCTAATCTGTAACCGACAATTTGCTGGCGCGCCTTCTCCCACACGCCGTCTCCATACACGTCCACTTCGCCCTCGGAGAGGGTGGCGACGCAATCAAAACAACAGTCATTCTCCCCACTGTGCCACTTCTGTTTGATGCTCTCCGCAGTTCCTGATACACTTCAGCCTTGGCACTAAGCACGTATCGCCCATGTGCAGACATTATAATGCATTGATTGGGATAAAAAGCCACATTCCCATGTGACGGTAAATATGGCAGCATCCGGCTTTAATGATAAACGGATGCTACAGATGCACATCTAATGAGGTTAATTTGCCATTGGTATCTGTAAATAATGTCTATTTTATCAATACAGTATTACCATGTAAGAAAGATTTAGTGCAACTGGGCAACAAGACGCAAACAAAAGGATTAGCGGCCACTGAGATGTGCATCGCTCATGTCAATCTTCATCCTCAAGAATTTAGCACGACAGTACGAAGTGTACCCGCAAAACAACTTGCCCGCATCAGCAGGTTCGTTATTTGCTTTTGCGTTGTTTGTGTTCTTTCATGTTGTTTTGTTTTGTTTACATTTTTGCGTTTACGTTTCTACGCCTAAAGATGTAAATTTGCAAAATGAGCTATTTTACGGCTGTATTGCGTTTCTGCGGCTCGTAATGACACCAAGGTCGCACGAGGAAAGTCGCGTGCAATGATCAATCCTCCACCCCCTGATCGCCTGCAACACAGTGCCCACCTCACCATCGGCAAAGGCAACGACAGCATAGAACAAATTTCGTTTTCTGCCCATTTCAGCCCGTCTGACTGCCACTCCACTGAATTTATGAGTCTGCATGCACTCTCTTTAATAACACAGCTGTATTTACGTTGTATTTACGTATTTTTACGGGCAGAAACGTAAAGAATACATTTACACGTAAAAAACAAATAATTTCGGTTTTTGCAGCGTAAATAACAAGCCTGCGCACCAGCAACCTATTTGACCTGAGCGAGTAAATTGACATCGGCTTCCGCTGGCGCTCGAGCTGTCATCACTGCCATCATCTCTGCTCGCATTGAAGTTCGCCCCTTCTGTGTCGCCTGAGGACACATGCAACAATTTTGGCAACATTGCTCAGCACTTGTCGGCATGCCTCAACGACGAAATAGCCACCTCATAAGAGGTGTATATGCTGAAGAAATTTACCACGGATTTGCGCACCATCTTCAAGAGATGAATTAGCTACATCCTGACTATATAATGCATACTGAATCATTGGAGACAGCCATACCCTGGATATGCACAATATGTACTAAGATAAAGCGGTCTTCAAGAGCTGGACCGTCGATGCACAGTTCAACATTCGAAGTTACAACCATGGATATGAAGAACTTATACCTGGGATGTGACACATCATTGTAACCGCCCTTGTACCCGCATGACCGCAATGGGTGCCATTTACTATACATGAGTGGCTAAACAATGTTTGTTCAATTTTCGTCAACTTGGCTGACTCGAAACTGCA